GATTCGAGGGTGCCTAACACCTTCCCTCGGGTCAACAGAATTCCTTACTTAGAATTTCTGGTTCGCAGACTTCATTTGGAAAAGTCGAAAATTTCCTCGATTTGGGATTCAAGATAAACCGGTGACTTGGGACACCAAAAGCCAAACCTTTCCCAAGTGGCGACTCTGAATTAAATAAATAATCTCATTTCGAATATTATCACTTAAATTGGAAAAACTCCCCTCGCGCATTTAACCCTTCGGGGCCGGGCGCGCAAAAAGGAGGTGTGACATATAATATTTGGTAATTAGTGAGAGTCTAGTCGGTCCATTTAATTTGTATGACATGCACTAATATGTTAATCAAATCATTAATTAATGCTAATACTTTTACCAGGCACAAGTTAGGAATGAGCTTCATCCAACAACTAAAAATTAGAATATGGTTTGACTACTAAGATATAGTAGCATGTTTCAAACAAGACTAATTGACCGACATTTTGTTTGTGGGACTGTGCGAAATAATAATTGTTTAATGACCAATACGTGGTTGGATAGGCCGCAGAAAATTACACTCAATAATATTAAAAATGATTGGTCTTGATTTTTTTGGACCCCGCTTATCCCGTTTACAAACCTTTAAGGTCAAAAGTCAAAAGTGTTGCATCCAATGGACAACACTTGTTAAATTTGAAGTTCTGCTCATGGGTCAAGCAAATTAAAAAAAATCAAGAACACCCACTTTCAAGGCCATTCTTGTAATCACCCAATGGACCGATTAACTACATTATAAAAAGGGGTATTATTATTTTTAGCCCGCGCCAAAAATTATTTACATTTAGTAGTCAAAATAATATATAAAATTTGTATAATTTTTGTATATAATATATATATATTCAGATATTATTTTAAGAACGGCTATATAGTGTCATTTTTTCTAGTAAAAAGGGAACTAAATACATCTTTTTTACTTACATGTTCTCAAACTTTTGCTCACTAATAATGCAGGCCAAGGCAGTAAACCAAAATGGAAGGAGCGGTTTACATTCAGGGTAGAGTATCCCTCTGCAGATAAGCAGTACAAGCTTATACTTAAGCTCATGGATCATGATACCTTTTCCTCATATGACTCTCTTGGCGAAGCGACGTAAGTAATTTTTGTTTATGTTATCATATCAGACTTGATACGAAGATCAATACAGGTTGTTATAAGTCAATTTAACCATATAATACTATATTATTTACATTCAATCAATTGTGTACTCGTAGTATCTACTTGAAGGAATTGATTGAATTGGGATTGGAGAATGGAAAAGCTGATATTCATCCTCAAAAATATAGTGTGGTTGGCAGTGATCAATCTTACTGTGGGGAAATTCAAGTTGGCCTCACTTTCACCCCTAAGGTATTCTTTTGAACCCTAAGCTGTAGTAGCGAGATTTAGGAATTTCACTAAAGGGTGCCAAAATATAAAGAAGTATATATGAAAAAGTAGGATTTAATATATAGTATATATACATAAAAATAAATTTTTGTCTAGCTACACACAGTGGCGGAGCCACCTTATCCAAAGAGGTGTCAACGGACAACCCCTTTGTCCGAAAAATTACACCTCGGTAATTTTTATTTTATATGTATATATTACTATATGTTGACTCCCATTGACTTCCTCATATGTTTACTTCTTTATATTTTGATACCTCTTAGTAAAATTTTTGGCTCTATTACTGGTGCTGTATCCAACCAAACTTTACAAATCTTGTAGTCTTTCTAAATCTTGGTATATGTTCTTGAAAACTTTAATTTTAGAAGGAAAAGAAAAAGGTGAGATAGCTAATAAAATCGATCAAACGAAAGAAATCCATGTGAATGGAAAGAACAAAATAAAGTATATATTATATTCTCACCTTACAAAGACACAGTCAACTTGAACGAGTATAACTTTACTCGATTTAAGGGTGGTCCATTTTTGGTTATACATGTAACATGTGTTAGAAGGTCATAAACAACATATACTGTAGATTGTCTTTCATAGATCCATTTTTGGTTATACATGTAACATGTGTTAGAAGGTCATAAACAACATATACTGTAGATTGTCTTTCATAGATCCATTTTTGGTTATAAATTTAACCTGTGATAGAAGGTTATAAACAACACATACCGTAGATTGTCTTTCATAGATGATCATATGAATTTTTCACTATGCTTTATTTTTTTTTACTTTTTTATTTTTATTTTCCTCGCGATGGAACTCGGGTGTCATGATATGTTAAATAATTTGACAGAAGACAGCTGCAGTAGAAGAATATGGTGGATGGAAGGAGAGTGACTGCTGACTAGCTATAGTTCCTATATGTATTTGTCAGATTTTGTACACTTTGCTGTTTTAGCACGAAGATGAAGATCCTCACAAGTTTTTCTTATATTTATGCAATGTTAAAGTGACTGTTTGTTGTACTTAACAAAGCAATTGACGTTATCTTAAGCGTAAGAAAAGCTCATTATAGTGCACCATATGTAAGTGTTAGAGAAGAATATAATAAAGAAGTAGTCAAACTCTTCTCAAAATTTTTAACAAAATGCCACCTTCAGATAAACCAATTTAGCTTTTCTTTGTCAACATGGCCCAATCCCTAGCGGTCTAGCCAGGGATGCAATTTAGAGATTAGTCAGTCCTGATTTTCTCCTGAATTTATAAGATATAAATTTTAACTTCAGAATATTTTTGTCCTAAAAATTTGAATTGAAAAACTAAAATTCAGGATGCACGGGCTAATTTCTAAATAATAGCCCTTTAGAGTGGCTACCTAGTGTCATTTCTACTCTAAACAATGTGGGAAGAAATTAAAAAATAACCAGATTTACAAGTGGTCATTCAAAAATAGCCACAGTTTCAAAAGTAATCAAAATTTAGCCACTTTTCATGTAAATGTAAATCTGAATAAAAATACTGTTCAAAATACGAAAAAATTCTCCAGTATAATATATTGGAGTTCCAGTATATTTATACTGGAACTATACTGAGTTCCAGTATAAATATACTGGTCCAGCATAATATACTGAAAATTTTCGCGTGTTGGAGTTCCAGCATAATATGCTGGAAGTTCATACACGGGTGCACCGATCTCTAGTATATTATGCTGGAACTTTCCGTGTTGCAGCAAAATAGTGGCTATTTTTCAATGACTTTGCAAACGCTGACTATTTTTGAATGACCAGTCCAAAAACTGGCTAGCCCATACTATTTTTATAAGGCGTAATACATACGGAGACACCTAAAGTTGGCACGATCTTTCACTTAGACACTTAAACTAGACCTCTTTCCGATTAGACACGTTTCATAGGCAATTCTCATACCAATTAGACACGTTTTTTGCTGGTGGCATATAGCGTGACTTCAAACCTATTTAGGCGCGTGAAGGATTCCAAAAAGTGACTTTTCCTTTCCCAATTAGACACATAACGGTAACATGGATTGTCAATTATTATTTAAACCCTAATCCCTTTCCCAATTCTTAAAAAACCTATTTGTTCTCTTCTCTTCTTCTCAGATTTCTCCAGCAATTCTCCAGCAAATCTTTTCTTCTCTTCTCTTCTTTCTCTCGTTTCTGTTCTCTTCTTGGCATCAATTAATTTTTTCTCTTCTCTTCTTCCTCTCATTTCTGTTGTTGCCATGTTTATTAATGTCGAACTTCTCGGAATCGATAAACTCGTCAATGTCACCTTGCGTTGCTGCTCGAATCTGTAAGTGTGGTGTTTCTCCAAAGTTGAATACTTCTTGGACCCAATTAAACCCAGGTCGTAGGTTTTTTGCTTGCAAAATCGGAAAGGTAAATTGTTTGTTCATAATTTGTAAATTCTATTTTATGAATTATTTTTTTTGATAAAAATTGATTAAAAGTGTTTTGTGATATTTGTAGAAAAAGGGTGGATGTGATTATTTCTGTTGGTATGACGATGAGATGCCTACTCAAGCGAAGAATATAATTTGGGGTTTATTAAAGAGAGTCAAAGCTTTTGAAGAGGAGAAAGTTCGAGCAAAAAGAAGACGGATCCTTTTGACGATTGTTGTTGTATTGTTGGTCGTTTTATGGAAACTGTATGACTGATGAATTTTGGTTGACTGATGAGCAAAAAGAAGACGGATTTCTGTTGTTGCTTTAAATTTCTGTTTTGAAACTGTTGTTGTAATATTCAGATGTTGTATAAATACAACTGAATTTTGTTATAAACTTCTGTTTATATTCAGATGTTGAAACCGTTGTTTTAATTTACAGTTGCTGAATTTTGAAAGTGCTGTAATATACAACTTCTGTACAAGGCATAGAACCATAAGATGCAGTTTCAAAATGTAGAACATATAGACTGAAGTGCATTATAGAGTAATTATTCAGAACATAGAGTAACTATTCTGCCAAAACAAACAAAATAAGGCTGAAGTTGCAGCTGCATAACATATATCCAATCACCCGTGGACTCTCTAAGAACACACAGTTTAGCCCTATAACAAATTGTCTTGCCAACATACAATCCTAGCTTGTCCCTACACAACTCCTGTATTTCCCATATCCTTATGTGGGGCTGCTTAGTTATTTCATCTTTGAATTTCTTTGCAACAAACTTTGAAGTGCACAACTTATTCTTGTTTGAAGTATCACATTTGTGTACTGGGTAGTAGTTCTTTACTTTAAAATCACCTGAATCTCTATCAATACAAGCATAACACACCCATTTGCATCTCTTTGATTTACACTTAGCCCTCACCCTATGTGGTTCATTTGGTCTCAATTTAATCTGCACCTTGTACTCAATTGCATAATTTGCTAATGCTTTCCGAAATTCTATAGCATTCTCAAAAATCATCCCAAGTTCAAATATAGCAACTTCATAATCAGGATCATACCTCACTTTTGTACTCCTCTTTCTTGCTGGTATATCAACACCAGGAATAGTTTCAGGATCTAACTCTTCTGTGCTATCTTCACTATCAGCCTCTGAACTATCAATAAACTGTTCATCACCACCTAATTTACCTACATATCTTGAAGTCTTGTTTCTTCCAATATCCTCAAATCCTCTGTCAATACCTGTTTCTCCTAATGGTATCTCATCTGTTGCAATTGGTTTTTTCCTCTGCTTACCTTGCCTCTTGCTCATCCTTTCAGCCCTTAGAGATCTCAATTCATCATCAACATCTGAATCATCTTCTTCTGGAAGAACATCTTCTTCTGATTCACTACTCTCAACATCTGATTGCACTCCATCTTCATTAACATTATGGTCTGGTGGTTCATCTCCATCAGCAGCATTTACAGTTGGTTCAGAAGAATTGTGAGTTGGTTCAGTATCATTCAAAGTTGGTTCAATAGGAGGCTCAATAGGTGGTTCAGCAGCATTGTGAGTTGGTTCCGTAGGCGGCTCAATAGGTTTTTCAGTATTTGTATTACTCCCAGGTGTTGCCCTAGCTTTAAATTGGTCATTACCACCCCCACCTACTTCTGCCCCACATAAAAGACCAACATTTTCTTCGACTACTTCAGACTGACTCACACCATGACGCAAATAAACATCCAAAGTATCACCATGTTTTAAATCTTTCACAAATTCATATAACTGAAAATCAGAAAAGACTTTGATAAAATCACCATCTTTTTCCTTTTGACAATAAAACCCTTCGACAACTGCATACCCAAGGTCTTTAGCATAAACAGATAACTCGACAACACTATAATGGTTTTTATCGATAGCAACAACAAAAGCATCTAATTCCCCTTGTATAGTGGGACAGGTTGCTCGATAAATGTACCCCCGTGGTGAAAGAGAGTTAAAATATAGTCATCCTCCATAGNAAAATATAGTCATCCTCCATAATATTCCCTTACATAAGACGACAAGGGACCAGCACAAAGGAAAACCCCAAAAAAACCCTAGCTTGAGAAATAACTTACAGATTACTTAGCCCTAGCTGTAGCAATAGAAAATAAGGAGAGATTGGACCTTCAAGCGTTGTAAATACGGTGAGAAATCAGTGGAAATACTAGATTCCAACACCATTGACCAAAAGAAGAAGAAGATTAACAGTGGTAGGACCTTTCTTCGTTTTCATCGAAGGTAAAAGGAACAATGGTAATATGTTTAGATGTTTGTTTAGGGCTAGTTATCTGTATTTTAGTGGAAATAACACTATATAGCTGAGGTGGACAGTGATGTAGACAAATAAAATGATGTGGCATGATTTATAATGGTTACTTTTGCCACGTAGACGGAGATTGCAGAACACGCGCTTGGTTAAT